CAGCCGCCGCACGCAGCTCGGAGGCAGTGGCTGCTGCTGCCGTGCGAAAGAGCCCCACTTTCCTGAGAAGCTGTTGCGCAGCAGGGCGTACGCGCAGGCCGCCCGGCAGGGCCTCTCAGCGCGCCCGGCAGGAGGCGCCTGAAGTAGAAGTGCTTGTCCACGTCGCGCCCGGCCAGGCGCACCTCCAGGCCCGGCCGCCGCCGGGCAAGGCAGTACTCTAGCTTTCCGGAACCGAAGAAGGGCGAGTGTAGCACCGACACGTCGCCCAGCAGCAGGTCCAGGTGTGGAGCCAGTCACTGCCCATATACTTCAGCTGCATGCCGGCCTTGGCAAGACCGTGGCGCTCATCAGCCTGGCAGCAAAAAGCGCAACTCGCCGTCGTAAGTAAGAAGCGGTCAGTTCCTTGGCCGACGCTTTGGCCACTGGGCTAAGGCGTCGGCGAAAACATATGTAAAGATGTTTGAAGGACCAGTCACCGGCAACATCCCGGAGGTCCTGGACAACGGAGAGGTAACGGAAGGCACGCACGTCACCGCAGGGCAGCTGGCCCTCGCTCTGACGCCCTACGCGCAGGTGGCAGACCTGGTCACTGCAGAGCTGGCTTGGCGCGGGCAATCACACCTCTCGCAGCGCTGCAGAGCTCGCGACTTCGCCTGCTGGAGGGCGTGGTGGCCACGAAAAGCGTCCGCCTTGGAGGCCCGAGATGGAGGCGTCTCGGCTTGCGAGCTCGGAGGCCAGCGCTGGCCGTAGTTGGCAGCCACCGTGGCCAACGTGGCGCACTGCAGCCCTCGACGTGGCCCTCGCTGGCAAGGCGGACGCAAGCGCACTGGCCGCCCTGCTTTCCACGGTGGACGGGTTGGACACGCCGCTGGAGGTAGCACAAAATGACCAATTTCTGCCACTTCTGAAAACCTCGATACCAGGACATTATTGAGTCAATATTGAGTCACTAATGGCAAAGGCAAGCCGGGTGATGCAGCTGATCGTCACCACCGACTTCGAGCCCCGTGACAGAGACGTGGCAACCGACTGAGCTACGGGGTGTTTGGGGTGACAAGGCAGCCAGCCGAGCTTGTCATCGTTTCTGTGACAGATGTCATCGTTTCTGTGACAGATGACATCGCTGCAAGGTGGGTCATCGTTTGTGTGGCAGAAGTCATTGTTTCTGCGGCTCAAAGAACACGGTGCCAGCCGCGCAACATTGTTTCTGCGGCTCAAAGAACACCAGCCGCGCAACACCAGCTTTGCGGCACGGTACGTGAAATTGATGTGTACATGTTTCTTCACCGCATAAACACACGACGTACACTCAGCATTGATAATAGCTGTCCCTGCCAGGTTACTGGCGCAGGGTTGCTGTACTTCAATCATGACGTGCATGTTTCAACACAAGGTTGACATCCCACAAAGATCTCAAGCCTGAGTAGTCTGATTCTCGTCAGTGTCTGCGGCAAACTGGTATATGCCAGTACGAAAAGAGCATCAAGAATTTGTGTCGAATCTACTCAGCCCACAAAAGCCAAGCTCTGCAAGAATACCTCTTACAATTCTGCGCAGGCCGAATCACCTGTTTCTTGGCAGTAGTTCACATTTCCTGTTGTCCAACCTAATCATGGCACCTCTAACTTGCACCATTGCATGCATTGTGGACACGGAAGGTCAAAAAGGATGAATAAGCTTGAACATCCTTCTGGGCACTTCTAATCTTTGGGGAGCTGACTTGAGCAGCCGCATGGCAATATCTTGCGCCAAAGCCCTCGAGATTGCCTGTGTTTGGCTCTGCCAAACTCCTTGTGACACTCCGTGCAACAGGAATCTGCCTTTAAAAAACTACCCCAGACGACTGATTCCGGACCCTCACCTTTGACATCGCACACAAAACAGACCTCCCCTGTCATCTTTATCACACCCTTGCCCCTTGCCTTTTTTCTCCCACCGCAAAGCCGTCAGTCGCTCATACCAAAACTACGCAAAAATGAGCGGGGAAAATGCTGAGCCATCGTGCGTGGCCCAACCATCCGCTGCCTCTCCTGGTAACTGCACCGCTCTGACCCGACATATGCGATGAAGCTGTCGCATCGAACGAAAGGTCGCCATTGTTCCTGCACTGTTCCAGCAAGGGCATTGCGGCGCGCCTGCTCCAGCTGGTCCACTTTGTCCTGGCTGGTCCACATCTTGCCCGAGAAGCAGACATAGAAGTCAACAGCCTCATAGCCATCTGGTGTGAAGATGATCAGTGCAGGTTCTTGTTGTTGCTGCCCCTTGCGCGCAACCCAATCACCTTCCTGGCAGCTCCACCATGACGGAAAAGCCTTGCTGCAACATGTTCTGCCATGTTGCCAGTCCGGCAGGATGCTTTCAGCAAATTTGCGCCGTTCCTGCATGGAAGCAAGATCACCTCACCTGTGAAATTCAGAAGCCTACCAACAGCCGACCAAACAGGGGGGTAAATTGCAGTGGCTGCTTTGGAAACTATCCCACGTCCTGCAACTGCATCAGTGCCACGGCCACCACACCGGCTGTCCCACGCTCAGCCCGCTGCGATGGTTTCCTTGGAAAGAAACGGGAACTCCCTGAAATGTGTCATGCTTGCCAGCTCTGGCAAGACTGCCAACCCGGTAACGTCAAGCCTTAAGCCACCATCGACTCGATCCAGAATCAATTTGCCTGATTCCACATCTGTTTCCGCTTGTGGCAGCCTCCTGGACCAAAACGGGAGGGCGTTGGTGACTCTGTCGTCCCCGTACTTGGGCAGTGAAAGAATCTTTTCCACAGTTTCACTGTTAGGCATCGGAGGCAAACGAGCCTCTTGCGTGCTTACAAGGGATAAAACCAGATCCGGCAGCTTCTGGGAACCAAAGCCTTCTTGTTCCAAATCCTCTTGTCGTTCTTCCCTTTTGAGGCACTGTGTGAGCATAGCAGCCGCGGCCAGCCGCCTGTGGCAGCTGCACAAAGAACCAAGTTGTCCTGCACGATTTGATTGCCAGGCTCGGATGCCAGCTTCGTAGCTCGCAGAACAAAATGTTGCAATTGGTGTTCGTCAAGCTCGTCGGGTTCCATACCCGCCAAGCCCGTGACAGTGCTGACACAACCAGGAACACCTCTTGGTATTCCTTTTTGTCCATTGTCAAATCGACGCCGCACCTCCTCTTCCAGAGGTTCTTTCAGGCCTTCCCCACACTTCAGCTGCGCTGGCCTTTCGCAGCTCGTCAGCTGTGATGACTACCATTCGCTTGACCGAACCCTTTGACTGTGCTGGGTGCCATGTGTGCAAAATATCAACAGCGGAGAAAGGAGTCAGCTCCTCTTTGATGTCCAGCTTATTCGCTGCAGCCCGTATATGATCGAAGGGTTTGAAAAAGCATTCGCAACGCAATTGGTGCCAGTGTGTCTTGAAGCTCCAGAGGATTGTTCATCTTCTCATTGTAGGTGAAGGGCACTGCAATGACATGCTCCAGTGGAAGGTTCGCCTGTTTTGCCAGCAACTACCAAAAAAGTGGTCTTTCCAGCGCCGGGTGCTTGCCAGATTGCTGGCAATCTGCTACCGTTCGCATGCTTTGTGAAAGCTGTCTGTGCGCGGCGTTCCTCAAACTGAGCAAACAGCGATTCAGAGACTTCAGAGCGGCCCACCAAGCTCACAGAGCCGCTCGAGCACTGCAGTAGCGCCGAACTGTCGCAAATGGGATTCCGTTTCCAGTCGTAGATCTTGTCCTTGCCAATGCACGTGCACCTTCCTGTGGCTGCCTTGCTGCACAATGCTGCCAATACACGTTCATGCAGTGGGAGATCGGGTGAGACCTGCGCAACGATTCGCCAAAGAAATGACACAAGTTTCAAAATCAAGTTTGGATTTCATGCCACTGTGGGCGTAGGGGTTTCAAGCTGGGGCAGGGGAAAGTGCCGGCAAGCCAGCAACGTCACCAACGTTTGCTTTGACCCTGGATTTCGGGTGCGGCCAACCGCATGCCTCGCGATGAGAAATTTCAATTCAAACCAAGGGGGACCTTGCGATGTGCATCAAAATCGAGGGAAGCAGAAAGCTCGCACCAGCAACCTTGCGCTGTCGCAAAGCTGTTCTCTCACGTCGCACTAGGGGGCGAGGGATCGTTGCAAGCGGCTTGCGCCCTGCAAATAAGCGGCAAGAAAACGCAAGCGCGACTGGAACAGCAGGCTCTTCAATATTTGCGGGTTCCCCCTCGACTGTTTGATAGTTTTGCGCGCCACTAACCACTCACACCAAATCAAGCAGATATGAGCAGGTACGGAGAAAAGTGAACATTAGAAGGGGATGGAATGGCAGCAAAACGGGCCAAACCATCGAGCAAAAACGCTGCCCGTGGATGCAAAGCGGGGAATGTATGGTTGAGCTCACTGTGGCCTGCAGCAGCAACGACCCCAATGGGTGCAAAGAGATCAGAGTTGCCTTCCCTCTCTTTGACGGCAGAAGGGCGGGTCTTGCTCTTTAAAAGCAGGCTGGGGGCAAGCACAAAATCACTCACAACAATCAACGGCACGTCTCAATCAATGTCGACCAGCAGGAATGACCGACCTCCAACAAGGAAAGGCAACCATCCGTTCATGGGAGGTCCCCCAACGACAGGAAGCGCCGCAATCTGCACAAATGTAATCTTGGGATTTCCTGGTTCTGTGGATGTTGATCAGGGCAGCCCCATTGAAAGCATTTGCGGGCCGTGGGGGGAATTCCTCAAAACCGCACACAGAATCGAACGACCTCCCCGAATGGCAAGGAAGAGCAACCATCCGTTCATGGGGGGTCCATATCGAGTCTGCCAACGACAGGAAGCGCTGCAATCTGCACAAATGCAATCTTGGGATTATTGGTTCTGTGGGTGTTGATCAGGGCAGCCCCACCAAAAGCATTTCCGGGCGGCGGGGGAATTTCAAAACCACACACAACGACCAACTGCACGTCTCAGAACAAAGTCAAGAGCAAACGATTTTCCAGCCGTGCCTGGGGCTCTTTCAGCAGCTGGATCTTCTCAGCCAGAAGGCTTTGCAGGGCCCAGCGGGATTCCAGCTGCAATCTGCTCGTCCAGCGTGAGCCGCAGCAAGGATTGGCCTGTAACCTTGTTTTCACTGAGAATGCTCAGCACTCGGCCAACGCCTCTTCTGGCGTTCTCCACGGTGCCTTTGAGACCGCCAGCTCTCAGCACCGCTTCCGCCAGCTCAGAACCTCCTCTTCGCCAAAAGCCTCCACCTCCTCGCGGCTCTTGGCGAGCCAGTCCTGCCAGCACTCACCAACAACCAAGCCTGGCGCACGCGAGCCCCCAGCCTCCGCGTCGCTGTCCTGGCACCGGCGACCGGCCAAATTTGCAGCTGCTGATTAAAGCGTCCTGCTGCGGGCTGGCGCGCGAAGCAACTCCGCCACGCCCAGGGCGCCAGCGTGTCACCTCAAGAGCTGAAAATCCAGGCAGAAAAACATCACAGCGACACCGAGATCGACCTGTGGCCCGCGAGAATCCTGGTGGCACCACGCAAAACACAGCCAAGATGCCAGGAATCTGGTGTCCTTCCAGCCCGGGCGACTCGGTGAAATCCGCCCGTGAGGACATGTACCTGGGGCCACAACCAGCAAACCAAAGCACTGGAACAATGCTGCCGAGGTCTTGGCCGTGCGCAAGAAAAGCCACGAGATTGCAGTCAGGAGAATGCGGGAGCGAACACCTGACGACAACGAGTTCTAACAAGCACAAGTTGAAGCTGACCAGCCTCGGCTCCTCCTGCCCTTCGTCCTCTCCACGCCCATGGCTGCGCAGTGTTTCCCCCGTGGCTAGTTTGTGATATGATGTGGATTTGAAAGCGCGACTTTGCGCTGTGTGCGTGGACCGTCGGCAGCGCTGCTTCTGAGCGCTTCTTTGGGCCAGGCTACAAGCAAAAATGTTTTTACACATTTCGCATGGCGGGCGCTGATCCCTCAATTCCGAAACCACCCATCGCAATGTTTCCCAGCTGCCAAACATGAAGCAAGCTTATGAAATCAGGAAGCACTGAGCTCTGCACAGATGCAATCGTCGGATTTGCTGGGTCTGTGGATGTGAACAAAACCAAAAGCATTTGCGGGCCGCGGGGGATTTTCGAAACCACACGCAACGACCATCCTTCAGCAGCTGGATCTTCTTTGTCGGCAGCTCTGCAGGGCCGCGGGGAATGCCATCTTGCAATCTTCTCCAGTGATTGGATGTTGCGGGCTGGCGCGCAAAACGACTCCGGCACACCACAGGCGCCTTGTCACCTCACACAACAGCTGAGAATCTAGGCAAAAACAACAACACCAAGATTTGGACGTGCGCATTGTCCTGGCAGGCCCATGGCAACACACAAACAAGCAGCCATGATGTTAGAGGAACCCGGTGTCCTTTTGTCCACGGTGACTTGGTGTGAGGGGAGATCGTGAAAACATGCACCTGGCCCCGCAACCCGCAAACCAAAGCACTGGAAAAACATGTCACCAAGGCCTTGGCCGTTGTCCGGGATTGAGGACGGCCACACGCGCAAACCTGGCGAGACAACTCAAGCTCAACCAGCATGAACTTGAAAATGACCGGCCTCGGTTCATCCTGCCCTTCATCGTCTCCATGGCCAAAGTCACAACCGCAGTGTTTCACCGTGTCTGTATCCACTTGAGAGATGGTGACCGCATAGGATGCGCATTTGAATTGGAGTGTTTGTGATTGTGCACCCCAGGACCTGCAATTTTCATACTATCTCAAACAAAATTGTATTCCGCAGAAATGCGAATGAGACAACAATATTTTACAGCGACCCAAAATTTCATCAACTTTCAATAGTAATTACAATTAAATGAATTGCAAAATTGAGGCACCATTTGAATATAAAACTGTTTGTCCTTCGTATCACATGCTCAATGTTCCTCAACGCTAAAGAAGCTGCGCGCTCCAGACCTGAGACACATACTAAAAGCTCCACGCGACGTGCAAACAACCAATGTGTTGTGGCCCCAAAAACAATGATGCAGATCTGAAAGCAATCCGTGTTCGGTCCCTCAAAATCCCCTACGGGGGCTGTGAGGAAACCCTGAAACTTCCCTTCGGACGGTGTGAAAAACCCCCTGCGAGGCTTTGACAAGCCCTGCCCCGGAAAACTAGAAGACGGGTGGCCCGAAATCATTTTCCACGACGTGCAACTAGGACCAGGCTCTTTTTTGTCCATTCGCCGAATGCAATTGTCTGTTCCTTCGGCGGATCGCGCTTTGCGATCGCAAACCCTAAGCAAGCAAGCACTCTAGTGACAGAGGGTAGCGCGCAGCAGGCACGGAAGCCATCTACCCAAGAAGAAGGCCTTCTTCACGCCGCGCACGGCTCGTTGGGCGCGCGCGCCTGCTGCGGACAGCAGAACTTGTCCTAGCAGGGCTGCGACTTCTGGGCCGCACGGCACCGCCCTCGCTCCAAATTCCTCGAGGGGGTTCAACATCTTGGATTGCAAGGGCTTGCGCTCGCTCCCAGGTTATGCTCTTCCTCCGCCACTTTCTCTTTCTGCTCTCTCGTGGCTTGCTTTCTCCGTGCCCAACAAATACCTGAGCGTTTGCTCTGCCATGCGAAGTTCTGTTCGGTTGTGGAGGATGCTGTCTTGGCTGTAGCCGGTGCTCTGCAGGATGAAAATCGCGAGTCGAAGGACGCATGGCCCCGCCGCCTATGGGACCAAGGAGGCGCTTGAAAGCAAAGAAGCCGGCTTGTCGAAGGATCTCGTCCGCATCGGCCCTGGCCGGCTCCGCCATGCTGAGCGCAGCACAGAAGTCAAAGTTATCTCAAACAAACATGCACGCACATGTATGCAAAGACAGTGTTTCGATGCGCCGCTGCGCAAGCTGCCGGATGGTTCCTTGAGACTCACAGAAACAGCAATGCGCAGACAGCTGGTCGGGCATCAACAGAACATGAAACAGACCGCCAAGCAGAGCAAATGCAAGGAGACAGTGATGCATTTCTTTCCGCGAGAAGCGCTGTGTGATTAGCTGTGGCAATCAGCTGGATTGTCCGCACAGTCCGCGTCAATTCCAACTGCCTTCTGCAGCAAAAACTCTACAGTCCTTGGCTCTGGAAGAAACCCTCCACGTCGGGCGGCAAAACCTTGTTAGTCTTCGCAGCCCAGTCGCGCGCCGATTTTTGCGATCTCCTTGTGATCGGCAGCCACACTGCGCGCGAGAATGATTCGAAGCTCGGCTTGGAGAAGAAGCTGCAGTACCTCTTTCTCTACGCAGCGGAAGCCCGAAGTCTGACTTGCGTGCGGCACTACGTTGAAGTAGCACGCGTAGACCCCGGATGTAGTCTGTGCTGCGCGCAGTCGCAGACTGCCCTTGGCTTCCGCGTGGAGGTTGAGGAAACTGCGAGGAACCAGAGCTCGTGCCACCAGCTGGACCATGTTGGCCATCAGCACCAGTCCTTGCACCCACACCCGTTTGCCAGAAAAAAGAACATAATTTGCACGCACGCACAGACCCGCAAGAAGCGCACACACAAACGCACACACATACACACGCACACACACACACACACACACACACAAAACCAACAGAAAAATGCAACCGCGCGCACGCATGCACGCACATATGCACGCAACAGCTTCTTGGGCACGTGCCCTGCGCGCAAGTTGCTCTGCGCAAGTTGCTCTGCGCAAGTGCTTTGTGCACTTGCTCTGCTCAAGTCGCGCTGCGCAACGTGCTCTGCGCAAGTTGCTCTGCGCACGCCGACCCCCGCAGAGGGTTTATCCGGGAGAAAACACAAAAAACCTTGAGTTTTTGCACCTCGACCACGCCGATCTCCTCTTTTTTTTGCCCCGATGCAGCAAACCGTGTCAGGCACGCGTCTGCTCCAAGCAATGCGGTGAAAGCAAATGAAAGAAACAAACATCAGGATCCCGTGTCCGTGCTCCAAGGTGAGAAGGAACGACAACTTCCGCCTTTGGCCAATGGCCTGAGTCGCGTTGATGAACGCAGGCAGCTCCTGCAGACAGCGCGACTTCCCCTGTCCAGCACCAAAAACACGGTGTGTGTCTTTTTGTCGGAGCCGTGTAACGGAGACCTTTGGCGAGCTCTGTCTTCAGAGACCCGACCTCGTGAATGCGTACACCAGTACAGCCACTTTGACTCTCCTCTCCTTCTAGCTGTTGATGCGTCCGTTCAAAAAGCAGTCTTTCAATGTCAGGCAGCTTTATGCCAAAAAAGCCGAGACGAGGGAGTCCTGAGGAAACATTCTTAGGATAAACAAACAGTAACAACTAATCAAACACGCATGAGCAATTTGGCGAAGACTCTGTAATCAGACCCTGTAATCAGACTTCCCTGACGCTGACTCTGGAACGCTGGCGACTTTTTCCACAGGAGCAGCAGCCGCAGCAGCTGTCCAGACGCGCGACTTCTGTTGCTGTTACATGCACATGAGTCCTGGAGGGATCCATTCATCGATCTGCTTTGTCCGGACTGCGCACCTTCTGCTGCTTTGAGTCTTGGCGTAAATTACGTAGGTGATGACCACTTCCTGGACATTGATCTCCATTGGCCACTCCGATTCATAGTTTCTTGATGCCCTCGCAGTGGCAAAGATTGCACAAATTCTTGTGCAATTTGCTGATTTAGCCCAATCAACACCAGTCGTGTTTGCGAAGTTCATAAACTCCCTAATTTCCTTCCACTCTTGGGTTGTATCAGTCTCTGGGTATTTACTCTGAACCAAGGTCATGGTGTTGCCGTCAAATCCGATGCTGTCCACACCCCGCTCCGTATCGCTCTCTGCAAGACACACACGAGATTTCCTGTCTCTTCTGAATTCTATCGCTGCTGCTCTAGGATCGCAGGGCAGGTCGTAGGGAAAGCCATCCATGTCAATGGCCACTCGCATTGCGCAAAGTGCCTCGAACGCCTTCGAACTCCAGCGGCGGTCTGTGCCAGTGGGATTTTCGTGTCGCAGGTGTTTGAAACGCTCTGGGCGATCCAACTGCATCAGCAGGTTCAAGAAGAATGGGTACGGTACCGTCACCCGGACTGTCGCCCGTGTCCTCTCAATGAAGGCTAGGCCAAGTTGAAAAAAGTCCTGGAACTTGGATTTGGGAACTATGCTTTGCAGCAGCACAGCCTGAACCAATGCAAAGCAGGCTGGCCGCACTGTCTCGTTCAGCAGGGCGTCTTCATGTTGACGGACGCGGTCGCATGTGAGCAGTGGACCAAGTCCACCGGCCTGCCGTTGCATGAAGCAGTGCAACTGGACCAGCAACGCTGCATGACCTCCGCAGGCACTGATGGCAAGCCGGGCTTGCAAGCCAGTGATATTCAGGCCTCAGGGAAAGCACAGGACGCAATGCGCATGCAAGTGTGATGCTCCCATGCTAGCTGCTGTGTCGAAACGAAGCACATGCACATCATGTCCTCCCCCCCAACAGGTAGACTCTGCACCGGTCAAGGAGTCAAGGCCAAGCCTGGAAAGAACTTCTTGGAGTCTTCAAAGCTGAATGCAGCAAGGTTCTTGTGTTCCAACTGTATGACAGTCGGCTCCGGATTCCATACCACCGGCGCAGTGTGCGTAATGACCGGCACCACCAATCCCAAAGGATTCGGCCCACAGTTGTATTCAGCCAACAAGTTCACGAAGTCTTTGAGTCGTCTGTCATTGAAGCCACGCTTCAGCAGAAAAGCGAGCTCATCCACATGCACAACCAGGATGCTTTTGTTTGCTGAGCCGCTTGTGAAGCTTTTGAACACGGCATCAAGCACAATAGTGACTGTCAAGCCTTTTAGCCATTCTTCCCCCCCACGAAAATAGTCTGGGTCGCACTGCAGAAGTCCTCGGGTAAATAAGAGTGTCGCCATGATTTGTTTCAAGGAGAAGCCCTTCTGCTCAGAAAGATACTCGGTTTCTGTGCCATCAGTTCCCCCACCAGTCCCACCGTTGAAGTTCAGCCCTATGCGAGAAACCGCGTACGGTTGGAAGCTTTGGTTCCTTTTCAGTAAACGTTCCACCTCAAAGCCCCAGCGTGACTTGCCAGCGCCACTCATCGTGGCATACTCCAGCAGCGGGCTGTTTGCTTTGATCAAAGAGCCATTGCGACTCCGATCTCCCAACATCTTGGAGACCCTATTCAGAAACTCCTGGGACTCCAAAGGCCGAGCCTGAAACTCGCCATCGTCGGGCTCACCATGAATGCTGGCAGGCACTTTGTCTTTCAGGTCGCCTCGAAGGCGTAGCAAGCCTTCCACTGTCTGCTCTGAGTTCGCCATGATGGCCAGTGGGGCCTGCAAAACGGATGTGTGAAGGAAATAGCCACTGCCAAAGGACAAACAACGCACGGCCACGCAACTGTTTGATGGTTTTGCGCGCCACTAACCATTCACACCAAATCAGGCAAATATGAGCGGGTACATCAAAAGTAGAAGGGAATGGCAGCACAACGGGCCAAACCATCGAACAGGAACTGTGCCCGTGGATGCAAAGCCGGGAATGCTTGAGCTCACTGCATCAAACAGAACATTCACAGAATGCACTTGGGCCTTCAGCAGCAAGGACCCCAATGGGTGCAGAGACATAAAGACATCAGAGTTTGCCCTCCCTCTCCCCGACGGCAGAAGGGCAGGTCTTGCTCTTTGAAAAGCAAGCTGAAGGCAATGACAAAATCACTCACAAGGATCAACGGCACGTCTCAATCAATGTTGACCGGCAGGAATGACCGACCTCCAACAAGGAATGGCAACCATCCGTTCATGGGGGGCTCCATACCGAGCCTGCCAAGGACACGAACCGCCGCAATCTGCAAAAATGCTATCTTGGGATTTCCTGGTTCTCTGGATGCGATCAGGGCAGCCCCACCAAAACCATGTGCGGGCCGCGCGGGGAATTTCAGAACCGCACGCAACGATCAGAGTCCCAGAACGCAGCCGGCCGGCGGAAGCGACCGACTCCGCCCGCCTCGGACTCCTTCGTCCGGCCGCTTGCCTTCGCCTCCTTGACCTCCGCCTCCTGCACCTTCCTCTCCGCCTCCTGGACCTTCCTCTCCGCCTCCTGAACCTTCCTCTCCGCCTCCTGAACCTTCCTCTCCGCCTCCTGAACCTCCTTCTTCGCCTCCTGAACCTTCCTCTCCGCCTCCTGGACCTCCTCCTTGGCCTCCTGCACCTTTGTCGCATTGCCCGAGTCCTCCGCCGTCTCCAAGACGGTGGCAGCTCGAGCGAGACGCCTCACCGCCATCGCTTCCTGCTCCTGGGCGCTCTCAACCTGCCGCTGGGCGCTCTCAACCTGCCGCTGAGCGCTTTCAACCTGCCGCTGGGCGCTCTCAACCTGCCGCTGGCCCATCTTCCGCTGCTGTCGCACCAGGAGCAGGTCCTGCCCAGGCCGACTCCCACGCCGAGCGCTCGAACGCGCTCGAACGGACGGCCTCCTCCAATGCCGTTTTGGCTGCTTTGGCCTGAAAAGCACCCACAACAAACGTGCATTTTGAAAATGTCACGAAAGCGCTTCTGAATCTGACCTGTTGGTAAAGGAAGCAAACACTGCTGCCTCTGCCACAAACTTCCGCAGCTGCTTCTCCAATTCGGGCTTATTAACCGAAACCTTCCACTTCCCTGCTGGATCTACCAGCTGCACTCTTCCTGAGCTCAACCGCGCCTGCAAATCCACAACGAACGTATTGACGTGCTGCTAAAGCGGCGCATGACCACTTGCATGTCTTTCAGCGTGCCGTTGTCCACAACCCGTTTGGCTTCTGCGACCACCTGAGCGAGACAAGGCTGGGACGTCGCTTTCTCTGAAGGCCCGCCGCCTCCTCGAGATCGAGCCGGTCCTGACAACCAACAAGCCCAACGTTCAAACCCGATGCACGTGTCCCCCAGGCCTGGCCACTGTTGTCCTGGCGGCAACCGGCAAAAGATGCGAACAGGCTTCGGGTCGGAGGAGTCCTCTTGCGCAGCCCCGGCGCGCCGAGCGACTCCGGCATGCCGTTTTGCCTGAAAGAGCCAAAGTGCAATCTGCTTGCGCCTGCGGGCAACTCTGAGAACTGGGCCAATATGCTGTCCTGGCACTCAGCACAAAACAAGAACCTCCAAAGGAGGGACATCATGCTCCTTCAGCCCAGGAACTCCTCGAGCAAAGTCCTGGGCGGCGGCGACAAGGGACTCCTGAAACCCGAAAACCTTCGAAAAAAATGTGTCCCAAGACCCAGGCCGTGCTCGGCTGCACGAGCAGCGCCAATGCAATCCCGAGAAGGCAGAGGCACATACCTGGCCGCTGCCTACCGCGGGCATGGTAGCGTCACAAGCTTGCCAGCCTCGGCTTTTGGTCCTGGTCCGCATCATCGCCATGGCTATTCGAAAAGCGCTTGAGCGGCCTGCGATTCCTCAAGCACTGGCACTAGACCCATCGGGCAACCACTGCGAGCTGTTGTTGTGTCAGTGTTGATGAGTACCCTCGAGCCAAGTTTCCAGAGCAAACACAAGATTGACTGGCTTCTTTGGCAACACCAACGCACGGGTTTGGATGCTCCTCCTCCTTTTCACTCGCGGCCTGAAGGTCGGTCGGGCCAAGCCTTGCAAGGCTTCGCAGCGTCCATCCGTCAGACTGGCTGACCCACATCCTGCCGCTGCATCAAAGTCCAAGCGAGATACCAAACTGGCCTGCCTGCAAAACAAGCAGCCGAAATCGGCACCGGGCCGCCAGGGGCTGAAGGGCGGGGGTTTCTGGGGTCCCTGGTCCCTGGGATCACTGGGGCCTCTGGGGCCCTAGGGTCCCTACATTCCCTAGGGTCCCTAAGGTCCCTAAGGTCCCTAGGGTCCCTAGAGTCCCTGGGGTCCCTGCACACGTGTGCATCAGACGTCTCGCCAAGGCCCCAGAGTGCGCTCATCCCTGTCAACGCACGGCGGGTTCAGGGACCTTGGGGACCTTAGGGACCTTAGGGACCTTAGGGACCTTAGGGACCCTAGCAACCCTGCAAACCCTACCCTAGGGACCCTAGGGACTCCGAGGACTTCAGGGACCCAGCGACCCAGGACTTCAAGAGATCCTTGGTGGCCCCAAGGATTTTGGGGCTTGAGGGGATCTTGGCAAGAACTTCACGCCGGGTACCACTCAGCCTGGGCATTCTCCAGCATCATAGGGTCATGCAAAAACACAAAATGCCGAAGCCAAGACACACACACACATTGCAAATGGGCCACAACACCACAACATCATCTCCCGACTACAAACACGGATGTAGAAAACACCATGTAGAGACATACCAACATAAAGGCACAAAGACATAAAGATATAAAGATATAAAGAGAAAGGTATAAAGATACAAAGATATAAAGATATGAATTTGTAGAAATACAAAGATATAAATGTATGAAAATTCAAAAAGAGATACAAATACGTAGAGATATGAAGATATACATGTATGAAAATAAACATGAGTACACGAAGATAAATAGATGTATGGCAAGTTGCTCGAATGGAAAAACAACAGAAGCTTTGCCCTTCCGCGCGTCTTTGTGTCCCCTTGCGTGGCAAGCTGCAACCAACCGAAGCTTGAGAGATGACTTCACACTTCACAGGATCTCTTGCCCCCAAGACCCAGGGTTGCTGGGGTCCCTAAGGTTTTTGGGGTCCCTAAGGTCCCTGGGGTCCCCAAGGGTCCGTAAGGTCCCTAGGGTCAAAACGCCGTGTGTTGACAAGGATGGATGCACTTTGGGACTGGCCAGACGTCTTGATGGAAGGACGTTGTTTCATGGCACCTGCAGCGGACGCCCGCGTGCCCAGGGACCCAGGAACCCCAAAAACCCCAGGGACCCTAGGGACCCCAGGGACCCTCGGGACGGACCGTCAGGGCTTCACTGGGTCAAAAATCAAGGGGGCTGACAGATTGGTGACAAAGATCAAATGACAATAACCTGCACGGGACCTCTTGGCCATGACAATGGAACGCGGCGAGGGCCCGGGCGGAACGTGGAGCTCGAGGAAACCACACTGCCTGACTTACAAAAGACCTGACAGTACGACTTGACGGGGTTGGGGCAATCGCTCTCAAGGTCAAGGGTTCACCAGGTTGGAGAGACAATACAAAATTCGGGCCTGGCTCAACGAGGTCACGATTTCCAAAGATACACGGGCCTGACGGCGCGGCTTGACGGGGTTGGGAAAAGCACACAAAAAAACAACGCAAACCACTCGGGCCTCACCGGGTCAAAGAGATCAAGGTTGGGCCCAACCCTGAAAGCTCAGTTCAAATCCGCACATCAACACTGACGGCGCAATCAGCAAAAAGGCCCGAGTCGCGCAAATCATGGCACGGGACGGGGGGGGTATCCGGGCCTCGCTAAGCCAAAGATCAGGGGGCCTGACAGATTGACGAGTTGGGACCCAAACCTCAAAGATCAGTTGGCATTGATGGCCATGACAACGGAAGCAGCGAAGGCCCGGGCAGTATGCCTCGATGTCAAAACAAAGCCTGGCACGGGGAAGCGCGAAAACACGACCTTCAAAATCCAGGACCAAACCTGAAACACTGCTCAAAGGCCGAGTTGACACCAATCCGCACAGGTGCCCAGCCAAAGAGTCCCCAGTAGCACGAATTGGATTCACCTGCAAGCGGCCAACAAAAAGTGACAAAAAGGCAACTCGCGGCGCTGCGAGAAGATCTGCACGTCGAAGTCTGGGCACAGGGCACGTGAGGTCAAGAAAAACTGTGAGTCTGAAACCACGCCTTTGCACCCGCGAGCGGTTCCCTGCCCCGTACCCCAGAGTGTCCCCGAATCTCGCCTTCACAAGGCCCACGTGCTTGGGGAAGCTCTTTCCAAACACGACCGACAACGTGAAAATCGTGAGAAAAACGCAACACCGGCAACCTGTCATGCAAAATCACCCTCAAAAACCACGCAAAACTGAATTTACGGAAAAACAGACAAAAACGTGTTTTTGTCCGGAAATGGCGGCCCTCGAGCCGCTTGAGCCAGGGCCGTCCCTTTAATCGTACCATTTTGTTGTCCGCCCTATAGGAAAGGGACCGGCAAGCAAGAGTCAAGATGACTACCATCGCCACTAGCGGGGCGAGGCGCAGACGAGCCCCGGCGCCATCGTCTGGCAGTCCGCGTGGACTCACGTCCTCTGGGAGCCCAGCGGCTTCGGCGAGGCCCAGGCAGAACGCCTGCCTTGCAATGGAAAGGGATTCCGAGGCCTGGGCGGCCTGGGAGGAATTCGAGCGTTAACGAGCTGTCTTCGCGGTCGAGCCACATTTGGGGCAACTACGGCGATGTGAAGGACAGGTGGCAGAGCTGCCTCAAGGAGTCCTGACAGGGAGCGACCTTCCTGAAGTGCAAACTGGACGCGCGGAACGTCCGGCTTCTGGGACACCGACGGCAGCAAGATCCAATGGCCCGAGTTGCTGGCGGGCTGCGAGTGCCAGGCCCGCGTCGAGGCCTGGCAGGTCTGGATCATGGGCAAGCAACGCGGCCTGGTGGATGTCCGCGACCCCGGCACGGGCGAGGACTCTTGTTCTTTTTATCGTGGATGTCAGACGTAAGCGAACGCACCCGTAACTGACCCCGGCGGCCTCGAGAGAACAGCGAGGCCCCGGGGCACCCAGGGACTTAGGGGGCCTAGCGGACTTAGGGGGCCGGTTCGGCAGCAGGGCGCTCAGCGCTCGCGCTGGTTGCGCAGCCTCCAGCAGCAGAATTGCATGTTCACCCGCACGGGCGCTGATGAGCCTCAGCTTCTGGGAGCTCACCCAGGTGCTAATCTGCATGCGACGGCCTCGGATGAAGAGCGTGTCAAGGGCGCCGTGGGGTTTGGAGCTGCGGCATCGTCCATGTCGTCGATTATTATCAGGATCTGGTACAGTTTCTTCATTTCCAACTTCTTGGACGCTTCCGTGATCTTGCGCTGCTGCTGGATGATGCGCACGTAGATCCGCTCAAACACGCCCTTGTACTGCTCCAGGATGAGGCTGATGAGCGCCACGGTCTTGCCCGACTTGCTGGGCCCGAGGAAGATGCCCGTGCGTGGCACCAGGCACACCACGGGGTCCGAGGCTTGCTTGCTGGTGTACTCGCGTGGGGAAAAGCTTGATCTTCCCCATTCGTTTTGCGTTACGCAGGTTCCGGAAGCCGGCCAGCGAGTCGGGACCTAAAAGTAAAGGCCGCCACGCAGCGTGCACCTTTGGAAGACCACGTTGAATGTAACACTGCCGCAACAGACAAGGCCGGAACCTCACAGAAAGGCTGGAGTCTTCTTCAGCGATCTGCAGTCTTCCGAACTCAAACTTGCTTGGAATGGGCACATGTTCCTTGCGGGGATTGAACCCGCGACCTATGGCTCATAGGACCATCGCTCTAACCACTGAGCTAAAGGAACTTGGCAATGCAAGCACCATAGCACGGCACATTTTTGTTTGCCAGAACTCACTTTTGTATATGCACGAGCGCAGCGATTTTTTGACAATCACCTCAAAACCTGCGCCCTGCCATCGAATCCGTCCCTCCAGAGGATTGAACGGGGTTTGTATATGCACGAGCGCAGCGTTTTGTGACACTCGGCCCAAAAACGCGCGCCCTGCCACGTGGCTGGCTCCACACCTGGACCTGCTGCGCGACGTGTCGGTGCTGCACTCGCCCTTCTTCGGTTCCGGAAAGCTAGAGCACTACCTTGCCTGGCGGCGCATTGTCGCCCTGCCAAGTAGCTTCCAGGTGGACCTATCAAGCTGCAAATCGGCCCAATCAGCAGGCTCAGGGAATTCTGCGCCAAATGCCTGCTAGTCCATCCTACTCCTGCGGGTTGCGCAATGCGGTGGCAAGCAAGTTGAACGACTGTTCAGAGTTCCTTCGCACGGCAGCAGCAGCCACTGCCCGAGCTGCGTGCGGCGGCTGCAACTGCCACCGTCCAACGTGACCGTGCGGCACCAGGATGCGCTGGCCTATCTGCGAGCGCTGCCCACCCAGCACCCCAGCAATGCAATCCTGTTGCCGGCGCAGGATTGACGGAAACGCAACCCAAGGCTCATGCAGCAAATGAGGCCAAGAGAATTCCAACCCAACCAACCTTCTGCTCTGAGTCACCGTTGCGCTTAGAAAGCACTTGTCAGGCTTTCCGAGCCACAAAGCTCCGCAACAGAAACGCACTTACAAGGCCAGAAACAGCGCTTTGAGCCCGGGCAACTTAAACTTCCGAAGCAAGCTGAAAAACCTTGCAGAAGTGCAAGCAGAAGGGCTGTGGCCGCACCGCGCAAAACCACCAAATTTTCGCAGAATCCACATTTGCTGAATGATAACCTCTGAGGATGCGCTGCGAGCGGTTCACAAATAACAGAGAGAGGTGGTGCAAGCGCGGCCGGTGAAAGTGATGATGGCCGCAGTCAAAGGGGACTTGGCCGCAGGGTCCGCCAGAGCCGCAGGTCCAGGTCCAGTTCCAGGTCTTGGCGGCGCCGCAGCAGCAGGAGTGACAGCCGCTCAAACCGCAATTTGAATACTCGCGACAAGCGCCGTTACAAGATTACGGACAAGAGGTCAAGTAGTAAGGAAAGGGATACTACCCTAATTCATTTGGATTTTTGGTCCCAAAACCCTGCAAAACAGCCAAATTCTTCAACCCGCTGAACGTTTTTCCGATGTCACCGGTCTTTGTCACCACTCCGTTTTTGGTGCAAAAAGCGCTGAAAACGGCGAACTCCGAAAAGTGCGTTTTTCGTGTCCTGCGTCAAAAGTGCTGCCTGGGCCTCCAAATTCGCTCGTTTTCCTCCGAAAACCGGTTCCAGGTGTTCGCCATGCTCCGAAATCCGTTTTCTGCCTCGAAAAACCTGCGAATTCCAGCCCGCTGAGCTTGTCACCGCCGAAGTCACCGGTCTCTAACACGTCAGCCCGCCGAGGCACAGCACAGAGTCAGCCAGCGTCTGACGCGGCAGCCCGCCGAGGTGCTCCCGAGTAACACGTCAGCCTGCCGAGGTTCTTCCACGTAACGCGTCAGCCCGCTGAACTCGTCACCGCCGAAGTCACCGGTCTCTAACGCGTCAGCCCGCCAAGGTGCCGGGGAGGAATCGAACCTCCGAAACGTCGCTACGGAGAGCAACGCCTTAGCCATCTCACCATAGGCTCTCGTGCCCTAAAGAGTCAATAATGGAACCGGGCGATTCATCAATGGTTCATGAATGGGCAAGGTTGGTTCATGAAAGGGGCAAGGTCCCAAACGTTTCTTTGACCGAGATTTTCGGTCAATTCGTTGCATCATACCCAGTGTCCGATTTTATAGGACACTGCGCCTGAGGGAGCGCTGCGAAAGTACAACACCCCTGCGCTATAGACCTACTCCTAAGAAAACATGTTTGAAGGACCTGTCACGGGCAACATCCCGGAGGTCCTGGACAACGGAGAGGTGACTGACGGCACGCACGTCACAGCAGGACAGCTGGCCCTCGCTCTCACGCCCTATGCTCAAGAAACTGACCTGGCGGTGAACACGGCAGCCTCCGGCAACAACGCCGCTGCCATCCAGTCCCTGGACGACAGAGTCACCGCAGAGCTGGCCTCAAAGCTGGACAGCAGCGCGCTGGCGCCGGCGATTGCGCCCCTAGCAACGGCTGCGGCCCGGGCCACCACGGACGGTCAGGTGGCCGCGCACGGAAGCAGCATCGCAGCGCTGCAGAGCTCGCTGACCACGGGTCTCTCCAACAAGGCAGACCAGTCGGCCTTCGACGTGCTGGAGGGCGTGGTTGCCACCAAGAGCACCCCGGACGGCGTGGACCTGAAGATGTCCAACTACAGCACCACGGCGGCCATGAACGGCTCCATCGCCTCGGCCAACAACGCCACGCTGGCCACGGTGGCCGCCAACTACGGCCTCAAGACGGTGGTGGACCAGCACTCCCTGGACATAGCGGCGGGGATCACGCCGCTGGAGGTGGACACCAAGGTGGCCAACCTCCGAGCTCGCAGCCAAGAGCCTCCATCTCAGGGGATTGCAGGCCTCCAAGGCAGACGCCAGCGCCCTGACTGCTTACGCCCTGCAGTCGGCCGTGGACACTTCCTCGGAGGTGGACTCTAGATAGCGACGGCCCTCTTGGACGCCGTCACCACGGCAGCCCTGGACGCCGCCCTCCTCGGCAAGGCGGACGCAAGCGCGCTGGCCTACCTGCTCTCCACGGTGGACGGGTTGGACACGCCGCTGGAGGTAGACACCAAGATAGCAAATGCCCTGCTGGGTCTCGCCAACGAGGCCTTCGTCGCAGGCAGCTTGCTTGCCGGGGACGCGCATCGCGGCGTCCGGACGGCTACCCCCAAAAAAAAAACCTGACCCTGGCGGCGAACCCGTGGAACATCGTGCGCACCTACAACTTGACCCCGGGCCGAGAGCTCCTCTTCGCCTGCCGGTACCGGTTCGGCACGGCCTCCAACTTCGTGGTGTACATGTCCGAGGCAGACAACGTCTACGACCCCTTGTACGGCAGCTTCGTGGGCGACCAGGGTGCCTGGAGCACTGCCAAGATGTACTTCACAGTGCCTCCGAACGGGGTGGCAAAGCTGCACGTCGGGGCGCGCTTCCAGGCGCCGGGCCTGCCCAACCAGACGGCTGGAACGGTGGACGTCTACGGCCTCCAGATCCTGGACGCAACCCTGGAGACCGGCAACGCGGTGGAGGCGGTGGAGGACACGGCGGCCTCGGCGCTGCTGCTGAAGCACGAGTTCCTCGACGGAGGGGCCGACGACGTCACGCTGGCCACCTGGGCGAGGTGCTGCTGGAACCCACGCTCACCACGCTAGGAAATTTCCTGGTGCGCTCCAACAGCCAGAGCTCCGTGGCCTCGGCCAGCTTCGCGGTGGGAGGCTTCCAGCTGGAGGGCTACGCCATGACCCTGAGCGCTTTCGCCT